TTTCCAGGCAACATCTCCACTTTTGATGGTTTCGGTGGAGGAAGAAACTTGGTTTGTGAGCTTGAACGGCGAAAAAACGGTACCAAAGTTGAAAAACAGTCAAAAAGATATGTGTATTGGTTCCTCTCATGGATGGCTCATCCTCTTGGACGAAAGCTCAGAGCCATATCTTCTAAACCCTTTCAATCAATCCCGAATCCAACTCCCCAAGAAATTTACTTTTCCTCACATTAATAGGGTGACGAGTGAATGTTGGCGCGGTGGTGAATGTATATGGGTGTCATACACCTCTGGTTTTACCAGACGGTTTGGCCCCACGGAATATAAATGGCCCGTGCTTTCCATCAAGAAAGCTATACTGTCAGCAAATCCCAGTACCCACGAAGATTTTGTAGTTGCGGTTATATACGGAAACGAATCAAGAATTGCCTACTGTAGGAATGGAGACGATGAGTGGCGTGAAATTCAGGACGGGGATTCTTACGCATACTTTGATATTGCATGTCCCGATGGTGATTTACTATATGCATTGGGAAAAAATGGAACAGTTGAAGTCTGGGATTTGACTGCTTCTTCTATCCCCCTCAAGAAAAAGGATAGAACTACTCAGCCGTCGTGTCCAAAAAGGTTTATAGATGCCATGATAATAAACTATCCGGGACGCCTTTATGCCAGAAAGTTTTACTTAGTCCCCTGCGCCAAATCTGGACAGATCTTCCTGGTTGTGAGGTACGTTGGGAAGTTTGTGACCAGTGATGGTATAGTTGTTTCCCATCCTTCAATGGTCTGGCCTTATAAAACAATCGACTTTCACGTTTATCGCCTGGATACAACCACTTCAGCTTGGAAGACAGTGAAATCATTGGATAATCTTGCGTTGTTTCTGGGAGGGAACCATTCTGTTTCCATGTTGGTCTCGGATCATTCAGACCTCAAGGCGGATGCTATTTACTTCACAGACAATTACTGGGCACGAATGTACGGGCATTATTTGTATGGAGCCCATGACATGGGAGTTTTCAGCCTGGAAGATGAAACAATACATCAATTTTTGAATATCGATTTGCAGAAGATTAAACCACCTTCCTTTTGGCTTGTTCCTGAATCAAGCAAGCTAGTTACCTAATTTTGTTTTCTTTTCTTTTCTTGTAGTGAGATCCAAGATTCTGTTTTTGGGTCAGAGTAGCTATGGAGTGATATGTTCTATACTATTAGAACTGATTTAGTTCGGTTTAGAGATAGCAAATAATTATGATAAGGAGCTTTAATGATTCTCCTCTCCCTTTTTATGTTTTAGTTAGTATTCGTTTCCTTTTTCTATTCCTGAATCAGTTTAGTTAGTTTCTATATTAGCTAACCACGAGAAGGAAACTCTATAAAACCCGGGAACATAACAGGGAGATTCTTGAATGAATGCATATATTATATACTACTGTATTATTTAATAAATCAGAATATATATGCCCTGCCCTGATATTAAGCATGCATTTCATTAAAACCATAGAAAAGCCTCCAGAAGTTGAGAGGACAATAAATGAGATGATAAAGAGTTTTCTGTTCTTGAACAAGTACATATATAGAAATTCAAAAGACAGAACCTATTACAAGTAACAATTCAGGAGAAATAATAAATTGAAGGCAGCTAGTCTGGCTAATTGCGATCCTTTGCTAAATCCCAAAAGCTGCTCTTTGTATGTATGAAGCATTCTTCTGCAGGTGTTTTCGCGTATTATAATAATGTTTGATGCATAGTCCCAGCTTCCAACATTAATGGCTCTGTCAACCGAAAAGAAAAGGAATTCATAACTTTCACTTGAAGATCAAAATAGGAAAAATAATTAACTAATTTGTTAATGACAGATGACAATAAACCACTCACTTCAGGTTCTGGTTCAGCTTTTGCTTGATCCCCTTTTGGTTCTTCAGCTTTTGAGTTCTCTTCACCTGTACAGTGGAGAGAGAATTTACCTTCAATTACTATTCCCAATCAAAATTAACCAAAGAACATTAATAACTAATTGGTTCTTGAGTGGTAGATTGTGGGTAAAGACGCAGGATCTTCCATCTAATAAACCAACCACTGAGTCATTGTAATTTACTCATTCACAATCCTGTCGGGCTTGAGCGAGAGATTTTGCCCTTTGTGGGCAAGATATGGAAGGATTGATTTAGTACCTCCATCTTCTGGCATATCAGAAGTCCAGAGAGTGAGGTTGTCTCTCAAGAGCTGCATAATTAAGGTGCTGTCCTTATAGGACTCCTCATTCAAAGTGTCCAACTCTGCAATTGCCTCATCAAAAGCTTGCTTAGCCAAGTGACATGCCCTGCATTATATTGCATCCCACCCAATTAAGTAAGTAGGTAGGTAGTAAAGAAATGTGAAAAGACGATGGCATGGATACCTTTCGGGGGAGTTGAGAATCTCATAGTAGAAGACAGAGAAGTTGAGAGCAAGGCCAAGACGGATTGGATGAGTGGAAGCAAGTTCTTTGCTAGCAATACCCGAAGCTGCCTGAAAAGGAAACACAAACCAGACAAGGATTAGTCGGGTGGATCTGGACCGTTACCACCTGGTAGTTTACACCAAAAAAATTAAAAAAAAAAAAAAAAAGTAAACATATAAATATATTATGCCTCATAGCCCTTGAGTGATTGATCAGAAGAATCTTTCTTTTCTTGGTCAGTCTTGAACTCGGCTAGATACCGGAAATAGTCACCTTTCCTGCAATGCAATGCAATGCAAAAGCATATATGTATGTATAGATAAGCAAGCTAAGAAAGTGAGGAAATTAAAAAGTTAAGAGACGACAGACATCTTGTAATAGAAGACAGTGGCCTCTCCAGTTTTGGAAGATGGGATCAAGTGGTTGTCTAGGATTTGAAGAATCTCATGGCAGATGTTGGAGAGCTCATCCTCTACCTTCTGACGATAAGTCTTGATGAGCTTCACATTGTGTTCGTTGCTCTTAGACTCCTCTTTCTGCTCAATAGAAGACATGATCCTCCATGAAGCTCTTCGAGCTCCAATCACATTCTTGTACCCAACTGACAACAAGTTTCTCTCCTCCACCGTCAGTTCCACATTCAGTTTCGCTACATTCTTCATGTACTCCACCATTTCTATCCAATTCAGCAATCCATATAATATAGATCCAACATTATATTCATATATGCATATATGAATGGAAACTAACTGTACTAATTAAGAAATGAAATTAAAATAGAATACCTTCATAACGTTCAGCTTGTTCGGAAAGCTTGGCCATGTAAACATGGGTCTCCCTCTCCTTGTCCGATGCCATGTTAGGATCACAGAGAAGACAGAGTTTGGGTTGAATTAGATGAGAGAGTAGATATGTATTTTAATAAGTTTTGAAGCACATGAGAATTGAAAGAGGAATGAATTGAATGTAAATAGAAAAGGAAATCAGAAATGGGGGCGTGAGAATAGATCCAGGAAGGAAGGAAGGAAGAAATGGACAGAGTCAGAGAGTCGATCGCCTCGCCTCAGCCTTAGGAAGGAAACAATAATTCTTCGATCTCTTGTCAAAAGGAAACAATAACTGTATACGTGCATTGCGCGCCCTCTCTCTCTTTCTCTCTCTCTCATATTAATAAATCAATCTTTTAAAAATTGATTATTCTACAAACGTATGTCTAATCTGAGCTAATTTTTAAAACTATTTTTTAAAAGATCAAATTATGGTCACATCTGTTGGAATCCTTATGGATAAGAAGGATTGAGCCGTCTCAATATAAAAATGTAATATGTATATTCAAAAATATTATACTAATTAGGAATAAAGAGTTTATTACTTGTAATAAAAAAAAATGTAATACTTTTAATTTTTACATTTTTTTAAGTAATTATAAGTGAAAATAAAATATTTTTAAGAATTAATTCTATTTTTTATCTTAACGTGACAATCCGTTTTTTAAATAATGTTTTATTAGAACATCCACTTTTGATTCTAGTATTATTGTGGCATGATTATTTTTGCTCCTTTATCAACAAAACAATTTTAATATTGTTAAATACAAGGGCATTTCGGTCTTCGAATATGAATTTTTTCAAAAAAAAAATAATCATAAAAAATATAGTGGTTCAACCTATTTTGCATAAAAAAAAAAAAAGATTGAAATGTCCTTCTATTTAACGACATTTCAACGATTTTATCGAAGGAAGACTAAAAATGGTCCTGTCACAATAATACTAAGACTAAATGTGAATGTTCTAATAAAAAAAAAAGACTAAAAGTGAACTCCCACTTATAAATCTAAGACCAAAAATGGAATTAACTCTACTTTTAAATCAAAATGTATAGTATTACTCCCTCCGTCCCATTTTATGTATCTGGTTCAGTTAACGAGGCTTGACTGAAGTTATTTTTAATCCAATTTTTCATAATATTAAGTTTAGTATTAGTTTATAAAATTTATATATTTAGAAACTACACTAAAAATACTATTAAACAAAAAAATTAAATTTAAAAATAATTGAAGAATACTAAAGAAAATAAATTAAGAAAAAAGAGTTGGTTTGACCAATGAATAGTAAGTATGACAGATAAAATGGGACCGAGGGAGTACATTTTTCCATATAATTAATAAATATTTTATTCCTAATTAATATTACATTTTTCAATATAAATATTACATACATTTTATATTGACCCGACTCATCTCGTAGACAAAGATTCGAGAGGCGATTTCACACAAAATTTTGCCACAAATTATATATCAATGAGTTCGTATGCAATCAATACAATGATATGTTTCTATTAAATAAACAGATAAAGGACTCATGGCGGTGGATTGGTGACACACGAGGATGCTATACAGTGAAACATGGCTATAGGTTACTCACGGTTAGCTCAACCAGGGAGAATAATGACGCCATGTTTAAAGCGTGGAGTAGGGGTGTTCAATCGGTTAACCGTTCGGTTAACCGAACCGTTTTAACCGAACCGAATTAACCGAAGTTTTTTTTTCTTTAACCGTTAACCGAACCGAAGTTTGCTCTACCGAATTAACCGAACCGAACTTTTTTTCGGTTAATCGGTCGGTTAACCGATTAACCGAAATTTTTAACCCTAAAATTGAAAATCTTAAAAATAACTCCTAAAATAATAAATCTAACTAAAATAAAATACATATCATAATAAATTCATATCAAAATATACAAAAACAACACCATAAGTTCATAATTCATAGTCCATAATCCATAATCCATAGTCCATAGTCCATAGTCCATAGTCCAAACCATAAATTAATGTCTTCATAAAGATTACAACATTACAAAAACATGCAAAAATAAAATCAAAGTTCATCCCATGATTTCCAATTTTCCATCACTCCATCCTAATGTCCATGATGTTTACTCCATCACTCCTACATATTAAAAAGTGTAAGTATAAATAATAATTAACCACTTAACCAAATAATAAATAAACTAACTAATACAACTACTTGCAAATATTATTTTTTACCTTAGAAATCCAAGAACAAACACCTTACTCACAATTCACAAGGTGGGTTCCATTGCATTCCATGAAGAATCTAAAAGATAAAAGATAAATAAATAATATATTAAAATTTTTATTTGTGTGATGAAAGTAAACTTATAAACAAAAGGAATAAAATTTACATACCATTTTCAACACTTTCAAAGTCATTTAATTCTTGAAGCTCTTCAAAAACATCCAATGAAGGTGTTGAATTTTTTATCCAATCTTGATAGCACACAAGAGCTTGAGCCATTCTAGGAGTTAAAGAACTCCTAAAGGAATCAAGAACACGTCCTCCAGTACTAAAGGTAGACTCAGAAGCAACAGTGGATATTGGAATAGCTAGCACATCTCGAGCCAATAATGACAAATAAGGAAATCTAGGGCTATTAACTTTCCACCACAACAAAATATTAAAATCATCCGTCACTGGCTCCATAGCTTCACTGAGATACTTATCCAATTCCGACATTTGATCCCCACCACTACCTGATTGAAGTTTGTGCTTTACAAATTTCTCTTGCATACGCTTTTTCATCCTAGCTTGACATTCTCCTATATTTGAACTTGATGTTGGAGTGGAACTAGATGACACAATGCTATTTGAAGGCTTATAAGCATTAAACAATTCATACACCGCATCTTTAACCTTGGTTGCCATATCCTCACCTTTTGTACCCTCAAACATATCTTTCAAAGCAAATTCAACATAGCAAAACTTGTGTCTAGGATCAAGAATAATGGCAACAAAAATTAGCATATTCAACTTGTCAATGCTCCCCCAATATTTGTGAAATTTATCTTTCATCTTCATTGCCATCAAACTAAATTCATTCTCATCCGAAGCTTTGCACTCTCTCAAAAGACAATCAATTTCACAAATCTCATCAAACAAGCAATTGGAAGTAACATAAGAAGTCCCGGAAACTCTATTTGTAAGCTCATAAAAGTGCTCCAAGAATTTTACCAAGTCCCTAACAACTTTCCAATCACTTTCAATAGGAATACCATCCCCCGATTCAAGATCATCTTTAAAATTCTCATCTTGTAAATCAAACATATAGAAAGCATTTTCAAATTTTTGAGCACAATTTAGCATCAAATATGTTGAATTCCAACGAGTACTAACATCAAGGCACAACAAACTTTTGCTATCTATATTTTGACTTTCAACACATTGTTTAAACCTTTGCAATCTAGATGGAGATTGCCTTACATATCTCACCGCCCCTCTAACACGAGCAACCGACTTATTCAAAAGTTTCAAACCTTCATTCACAATCAAATTCACTATATGTGCAACACACCTCATATGCATATATTTCCCATTCAAAATATTTCCATGTTTACTCCCAAACTTTTTTTGCAAATAACCAATAGCAACATCATTTGCACTTGCATTATCAACCGTAATAGTGAACAACTTATCAACCCCCCAAGAAAGCAAGCATTTTTCAATCAACTTTCCAATAGCATCACCTTTATGACTTGAAATTTGACAAAAATTTATGACTTTCTTATGCATATTCCACTTATCATCAATAAAATGAGCCGTGAGACACATGTAATTAATTCTTTGCAAAGATGTCCATGTATCCGTAGTTAAACAAACTCTATTACATGAGTTCCTCAACAATTGTCTCACTTTGATCCTCTCATCTAAATAAAGTTGATAAATGTCTCTTGTGATTGTAGTTCTTGAAGGAATGTGAAACCTAGGACATGCAACTTCAACAAATTCCTTCAAACCTTCACTCTCCACAAACCTAAAGGGTAGTTCACACTTCACAATCATATTTGCTAGGGCTTTTCTAATTGCTTCTTGATCGAATTTCCAAGATGAAATAACCCCTTCCCCTTCATTACCCTTATTTTGCAAAACAATTTGAGCTTGTGACTTATCAACATTATCGGGATTTTGATTGCATGCATTCATGTGATATTTTAATGATGCGGTTCCATTTTTCTTTGGATCACAAGCATATTCTTTCCCACAATGAATACATTTGCATGATGTAACTCCGGAAGACGAAGTAATTTTTTCAAAGTGAGACCAAACTTCTGACCTTGGTTTTATTGTTTTTCTCTTTTTTGAAACTTGACTTGCATCTATGGTCCCACTTGTTGATGAAATAGCAACTTCATCAAATGACGGAGCCGTAAAAGAAGGAGAAATATCTTCCATTGACATCTACAAATTAAATAACATTAAAAGAACAATTAAAAATCAAACACATTACATATATAGAAATACATTACATATATAAAAGTATACAGTGGAACAATTAAACACAAACATACACTACAACAAACATATGCAGCTCTTTTATCTTCCTTTTTTTTTCTAGAAGTATAGAATAAGAATATACACCCCTATACACTGGAACATTGAACATACAAACAGAGTAATAGAACAATGTATATATTCACCCCTAATAGAACAAGTGGAAACAGTCAATACTCAATACTCAATAGAGCTTAGAACACATACACTGGAAAAGTGGAAAGTATTAAACTATTAACCGTCAAAAGAGCTTAGAACACATACACTGGAACACATACAGTGAAAAAATAAAATTTTATTATTAGCAACAAAAAAAAAATTCACACAACAAAACTTGTTAACATTTTTAACAATCAAGTATTAAACTATTAATAGTCTAGAAAATATTTATTTAAAAAAAAGAAAAGCATACCTTGTATAGTACTCTGGAGGACTCTGCCGTGAAGTGGTGGGCGGTGGACGAGCAGACGGAGCAGACGGAGGACTCTGCCGGTGGACGAGCAGACGGAGCAGGCGATTGGCGAAGACGGACGGAGAAGAACGCTGCCCTGACTCGCTGACGCCGGAGTGACGCCTGGTGGTGGTTGGCCGCCGGACGCTGGTGGAGCGCTGAGCCGCTGATCGATCAGACGATGGGGGTCGGGGGAAGGAGATGTGGTCTGTGGTCTGTGGGAGTCGGAGTCTCGGAGATGATTTAGGGCTTAGGGTTAGTGGGTTACTGACTTACTGCGTAGTATACTAGTATTCAATATTAACTAAGAGTTTAGTTAGGGTATTAGTCTAAGTTAGTTTAGTTAGGGTATTAGTATAATAGTATTAGTTTATTATAAAATTAGTATTTAAGTGTTTATATTTATTTATTTATATATATTTTAAAAACTTCGGTTAACCGTTCGGTTAATTCGGTTAACCGACACTTTCGAACCGAATTAACCGTTAACCGAAGTTTTGACATTCCTTTAACCATTAACCGAACCGAAAAAGTTCGGTTCGAAAACGGTTAACCGAACTTCATCGGTTCGGTCGGTTAACCGAACTTTCACCGAAGTTTGCCCACCCCTAGCGTGGAGGATTCTGTGGTCATTGCCAGTTCCACCCAGAGTGAGAAACCTGCTGTGGCGCTGTGCCCGTGGTATTTTACCGGTTCGTGAAAATCTGAAGCTTAAACAAGTATGGATTGTGGGTGGATGTCCGTTCCGTGAGGGTATGTCGGAAACCATTGAACATATTTTCTGTGATTGTGTCTGGGCTAGAAGATTATGGGGCGAAGACGACGTACTTCAAGGAGGTTGTACGCAGAGTTTGATGGAGTCTGTGTTGAACAGCTCAAACAGGGAGAGGGCTGTCAAATTGGCTGCCATAATCTGGACCATATGGACCGCACGAAACGAGATTATTTGGAGGCAAGCATTGCTGTCAGTAGAGAGTCTTCGTGGCCAAGTTGAGAGGCTGCAAATAATGTGGAAGGATGCATTCATCACCGTTAGGCAGCGAGAGGTCGATCAGGCATGCGTGACTCGTTGGATACCACCACCGCACAATACATTGAAGTGCAATGTGGATGCAGCTCTTTTTGAAGATGGGGCAGGTTTCGGAGCGGTAGTACGGGATCACGCCGACCGCTTTGTCGCAGCAAGAAACGGTAGAATTGTATGCGACCAGGATCCTTTCATGGCGGAAGTTTTAGCAGCTAAAGAAACGTTAGTCTGGCTGACAAGGTTACAAAGGTGTCGTATTATCCTAGAACCAGATTGTTTAAATTTTTGTAATGCTTTCAATTATAGTTTGGTAGATTATTCGTACATAGGATTGATCATTAAGCAATGTGTGTCGATTGCTAGAGACATAGGGAACGTCCAAGTCCAACATGTCAAGAGAACAGCGAATCGAGTGGCTCATGAACTTACTCGGACAACTGGTTCTACGTCTGTCTCAAAGTCGTGAACTGTTATCCCACCTGCGTGTATCTCTGGTTTATTGTGTTCTTAATGGAAATGTCGTTTGTTTTGTTAAAAAAAATATATGTTACTAATCGACCCGCTATACAAACATGTTTAGAATGTTTTAGCCCGCATGAGTAGCTCAACTGGTCATAGAGGTGAAACTTTGGAATAATGACCAGGGATCAAGTCTCACCAGCGGCAGTGTGGAACAACCTCTCAAAGTGAGGGGGGCTCCTTGTGCGCAGTGAGCACCGGTCTAGCCTCTATGGTTCATGTTCAGTTGAGTCACCATGATTTATATCCTTCCAAAATGTTCTGTTGGGCCGGGCCGGGGTATAGGGGACCCTTAAGGTTGGGGTTCAGCTTTTTGGAATAATGTTTTAATATAAGAAATTTATTATGACATTTTATACCGTCAATTTGTTCAACATAATATATTTGTAGTTACGGAGTAATATATTATTTATATGCACATACATAAACTGTTTTTTTTTTTTTTACAAAGGAAGGGGGATACTCATACAAATTACGCCTACAACGAGGCTCAAAACCTAGACCTCCCACATAGGGGAGCAATCCAATACCAATGGACCACAAGCCACTTGGTATAAACTATTGTTCATCATATCATATATCTGCAGATAACATATTATGTGTCTGTAGTTATCATATTATAGTTAACATGTACGTGTCTTCAATTTATTTACAGATACATAAACTATTAACTGAGTACCTACAAAATATGTGACACATAACTTTTTAACAAAAATCTATAATGTAAATTAGACCATGATCCATGGTATAAGAAGTGCACACTTTCTTTTCGAGTAAAAGACATTTTTGGTCCTAGACTTATAATGACTTGGACAATTTTAATCTAGGACCAAAAATGTCTTTTACTCCTTTCTTTCCCCTCTAACAAAAATCCGAACTTGACAAACAAATTCAACCATTCTCTCTTTCCTCCAACATGACCATGCTTTCTTTCTTCCAAGTAAACCAAAAGCTTCCCCAAAATCACCAACTTCCTCTTAATACAAAAACAAATATGGAACATAATTATTCACCATACACACTACTCAGTTATCAAACTCGAGTCTTCTGGACGTGGTAGTATCATTTGAAAGGCATTGGCCCTGTTTGGTAAAATGGCTGTTAGCTGATAGCTGTTAGCTGTTAGCTGATTCTGTTAATTAGAGTGTATAAATAGTTAATAATATTAGCTAATTGTAGAAAAGTGTTTGGTAAATTAGCTGTTAGCTGATAGCTGTTTGGTGTAATTTCTTTTTTTCAAAAAGCTAATTGAAAAGTTGCTTGGAGTAGCCTTTTGAATTTTAGCCTTTTGAAGTTGCAAAAAATTAATTAACCAAACATTTATATTGATATGTTAACTAAATCAAACAATTAATAGTGGTCAAATAAGTCAAAATTGGCCTATAAGCCAATTTTTTACCAAACAGGGCCATTGTAAATCTAGTCTTCTGAATTGAAGCGTCATAGGCTCATAGCTAACTTTAGTGCGAGACAAAGTCCATGGACATAAACCCATCTCCATAGACTGTCATAAGTTGGTTGACCTCATAATTAAAATTAGTTATTTATATCTTTTAACCATAAAATTAAAATAGTTTTTTTTTTTTTTTTCAGATCACGAGATGCCTGAGCAGACCCTAAGTGTAGGAGACACTTTTAAATCAGTAAGAACAACATTATTAGCCCATAATGGAGAGTTATTTCATGCCTTTTGAAGTCACAATGTCATGTTGGCGGAGAGAGATGCCAGAGAGAGAGAGAGAGAGGGTGGGAAGCTTTGCAAAGGGTGGGTTATTAATTTCTTCCCAAGGGAAGATAAATAAATGAGGAGAGAGGAGTTGTGCGAGTTTCGGCAATTGTCACGTGCCCGGTGGCGCGTCAGGCACGCTTGACAAGTTTGTTAAATATTATTATTATTTTTTTAAAAATTAATTTTGATTTTTTTTCTTTTTTCTCTCCCCTCTCATCTTCTCTTTCCTAATCACAGTTACAAAAACTCTTCAAAAACCGTAAAATAACTCCACCATTGTGGATGCTCTAACATACTTAGACTAATTCCCGTTTACATTGGGCCGACCAGTGTTACCCCCTAACAGTATGAGACACCTTTAAGTCCGTACCATACTCAGACTAATTTCCGTTCACACCGAGCCGGCCCAATTAAAAGACAAAGTGCTAGCCTGATTGATTTTTTTTTTTCATACGAGAGGAGGTTTGAATTCCCGACCTCTCTTAAGGAATAAGAGTGCACGGCCACTCACGCCAACCAACTTGGTTAATTAATTAAAATAGTTTGATTGATCACCACAATTTTTATTATTTTATCAAAACAATGATTATATATACATATAATCTAATTAGATGTTGAAAGATGATCATTTGTTTGAAGCATTGGACTAACCATTCCTGGGTCAGTTTAACGTTTACGTTTTTTTATTTTTATTTTTAAGTTAAATAAGTTTCATATCCATCCACCATTCCCACCAAAATGACGAGACAAACCGTAAATATAACTTTCAAATCTCTGTTCGTCCTCCACCACCGCCAACTCCTCTGCCGAACATTAACCGCCGCCTCCATAGCCCAATCACAGCCTCCCAGCCCCACCGCACCGGTCAACGAAGCGCACCTCCTCCGTATCTGCACCATTCTCTACCAGCAACAGCATTCCTCCGTGGAGAAGCTGCACAACAGCCTCCACAAAACGCCCTTCCACCTCTCCCACGAGTTCTTCCTCCGCGTTTGCAATAACTTCCCCTACTCATGGAGACCCGTTTACAAGTTCCACGAGTTCGCCGTGACCCGACCCGGGTTCGCCCACACGCCCACCACCCTCAACAAGATGCTCGATGTCATCGGGAAGTCGAGAAACATCGACCTCTTCTGGGAATTCCTTCAGGAGATCGGCAGACGTCGTTCGATCACCCCGAAGACCTACGTAATCGCCTTGAAAACACTAGCTTCGGCTAGAGAGCTGAAGAAATGCGTTGAAACTTTTCACGTAATGAACGGATTTGGTTATGAGTACAGCGTGGAGACTTTGAACAAGGTGGTGGAGGCTCTGTGCAGAGACAAGCTAGTTGAAGAAGCTAAGCATGTGGTTATGAAGTTGAAAGATTCAATAAACCCTAGTGTGGTTACTTACAGGTACCTGATATATGGTTTCTGTGACGTGGGCGATACAATTGAGGCCTGCAAGATCTGGAATTTAATGATTGATGCAGGTTTTGAGGCCGATATCGAGTCGATTGAGACTATGATGGAGAGGCTATTCAAGAACAATGACTACGGCCAGGCGTTGAAGCTTTTACAGTCCATGAGAGTGAGTAGAATGGATGATTTGGGGCTGTCAACATACCGGCTGGCGATCAATTGGCTGTGCAAGAAAGGGAAGATTGGGGAGAGCTATGCAGTGTTCGACGAAATGTCCAAGAGAGGGATTAACCCCGATAATTCAACATCAGCATCAATAATCTACGGGCTTCTTTGCAGAAGAAGGGTGAGGGAGGCATACGGGGTGTTGGATGGGATTGAGAACCCAGATATAACTGTGTATCATGGGATGATCAAAGGGCTCCTGAGGTTGAAAAGGCCAAGGGAAGCAACACAAGTTTTCAGGGAGATGATTGCCAGAGGTTGCGAGCCGATAATGCATACATATATAATGGTTTTGCAGGGGCATTTGGGGAGGAGAGGAAGGAAAGGGTGGGATCCGCTGGTGAACTTTGACACCATTTTTGTGGGAGGTTTGGTTAAGGCAGGGAAGACATTGGAAGCAACGAAATACGCAGAGAGATTGAGGTTCAGAAACGTTAAGGTGCCAAGATTTGATTATAACAAGTTCTTGCATTACTATTCGAACGAGGAAGGTGTGGTTATGTTTGAGGTGATGGCCAAGAAGCTGAGAGAAGTTGGTTCCTTTGATTTGGCAGATATATTTCAGAGGTACGGTGAGAAAATGGCAACCAGGGCCAGGAGAAGAAACAGATCTGTAATAGAGCCAGAAGATGAACAGAATGAAGAAATCAAATTGAGCCATTGAAAACAGAAGAAACAGAACTGTTGAAGCATATAACACAATATGGAGACGTTAAAATATTCTCACTATATGTACATACTGGAACAGAACTAGAGAGTTCAGGCATTATATTTATAACTTGTTTTTTCCTATATTAATGATTGATTCTAGCTTTTTGTACTAAATATTTGTTTTTAAAATGTTGTGTAAATTCCAACTACAAAATCAATGAAGATATATGAAAACCAAAAACAAAGACAAAAATGGGATGAATGAAGCACTACAGAATTTTTGTAACCACTATCCAAGACTCTGTGCGGGGGTCGTTTCTGCAGCAAAGGTTCTTATCATCAACACTTTTTGGAAAGAAATGTCTCCATCTTGTTCCTCAACCTACAGAAACACTGCACCAAAATTTGAAGCCTTTATTGTGCATTTGTGCAGTTCTCTCCCTGTAGGACATTATTATAATCAATTCACATCCATCATCATGTGCCATGGAAGGTGATGATGAGATAATGGATGGAAAAGAAAGAAATGAACCAACCCCCAGCTCCCACCAATGCATAAGTGTACAGACTGAAGTACAGAAAAATCTTGATAAAGTTGTGGTCCACTCATCCACCAGTCCACCACAGATATAACTGAAATGACAATCATTGTGATCTACCAACTGTTTCAGTAGGGAACAGATGAAACTAGGGTTCGTGGCTCTTGTGGTTTTGCCTTGTTCACATCTGTAATACCTTCATAGTTTTGGAAGCAGCTTTGAAGAGAATGTTAAAAAGTGGAACATTTCATATCAGACCAGACCTCCGACAAATAGAGTTGTTTCTTTTATTATATTGGTCTGAGGCAGGGGGAGGAGGTTGGTCTGGAAATATCGTGTTAGTAAAGAATGGTTTTTTTGGGTCTACATTTTTGGATGGGCAGAAGCATTGTGGGTGTCATGAGATACAAGACAGTTAATCATGTGGAATATTACCAGCTTCAGAAAACACTGGAGAACCATCAGCTTGGTAGATTTTCATCTCTTGATAATTATTTTTTCACAAATGGTTTTTGACATACAAGTAGACGCTGATCACTTCCATTCTGGAGGTCAATCACCCTGGCTTCCCAGCGGATCTGTGTGGCAAACATACGAGCCTTTTCTATATGGCCCAATTTATCCGATAGAATAACCCATCCCTGTAAGAGAACAATTGTTTAACACAAAATGTTAGTGTGCTAACATATTAAGCACTGAAGCTAGCTCAAATGTGTAAAGTATATACATTAAAAAAAAATGTTTAATTACACAGCAAGTCTGGGAAAGAAAAGACAAACCTCGGGCCTTAAAATACGATCCATCTCGAAAAGTAGATCAATCATACTGCATCTTTGTGAACTAAGGTGTGAAAGGAGCCCATTGGCATGAAGCATGTCAAATGTTCTAGGGTATGTAGGAAATGATTCACACCTGCCACAATTTTAACATTGAAGTAAATACCAGAGAATTATTGAAAAACTCTGGGGTTAGGCTATCCCTAAAACCTACATTACTTGATGAAACATTTTAAAGTGACATCAAATTCAAGAATATGAATGCATTGTGACAAATCTTTTATTCAGTAGAATACTTCAATATCTAGGCTGTTTCCATGAAATATAGTAGAAATCACACCCAAAAATGAGGTCTGTGTTATGACTCATCTACTTCTAAATTCTTTCTTTTTCAAATCTCATTATATTCTCTCCTAAAAACTAAACTAACTGCAGAAAGAAAATGCACCTTAGTTCTCACTCTATGTCAATCTACAAACTAAATAATAGATAGAAATATACATATCTTGAGAGAGAATCACAACAAACCAAAAGCATCGTTTCTCTGCCGTCTAGCATAGATCTTTGTGTTATTTCAAGTGATAGCTTGACCACTCAAAATAATTACACAATGCAGCAAGCCAAGGTGGTGGGCCTGTTAGCAAGAATGCATACATGGGTGTATCAAGTAAATGAATTCGCATTGTTTGGTGCCAATGATGTCAGATGCCCCAAAGGTCCCCAAGTGTATAGCACAGCAAAGGTGTTTTTATCATCTCACATAGAATTTCTTCAGTTAACTCTATAAACAAATTGGTATGTGTATGCTTTTTTATAAGGCTAAACTAACATATTACCAGTTATGCAGAATGCCTGCAAATCCTCGATCAAGTATGAGAGGAAGTGTATTGTGCACCCCAAGAGGCACAACATTCATCACCCACACTGATTTTCCTGCCTCAGATAATGCAGCATTTAATCCCCCATAATATGCATTCATATCCATAACATTCCGAACCATATTATATGGAGGCAATGGATCCTCGTCCCCAGGCCTCTTTGGATGGTCAGAGAAAATTAAGGGTGACAGCAAAGACCAATAGTTTCTCAATGAAGATCTCCAGAACTCTAAGTCCTCATAGAAATCTTCAGGATGAATACCTGCTTAACAAGAAATTATTAGTTCTTTGAAGATGGACATATATAGAGTATCACATATCAGTCTTATAGAACTAGTATCCTTTCCATGAATTTCGAGTTCAGTTGAGTTCAGAGAGCCAGTTCTGGCATGAATGGGAATCCATCTATTGTTGGCTGTCCCTGAAATACAATGTGCAAGTGGTTGGTAATAAGTTTGAATATCCTCTCCATTACAAATAGGTACAGCTCCCTGCTTCCTACAACACAGAACCAACAGTATATTACAAGTAAAATGGCAAAATTAGGGTAAAGAATAGAATCTAGAGAGTGTCAGGAAGAAAGAGGTGGCAATACAGGCAGAAAGTGTAAACAAATGTGATCAGGTCCAATGTTACCCATATCTATATATATAAAGCATCTAATAGATATCAGAAGTGGTGAACAAAAATGTTTTCCCATATGTGAAGCAACAAGAATCAGAAACCATTTTTTATAGTGTAGCTTCTATACAAAAGCTATCCCATTAGTCTCACACTCTCACCTAGCACACTGAGAATCGACTGTCTTCTGCCAGATGAAAGTTTCTTCTTGTTGGGCCAAAAGGTTCCAACAAATTTCCCTGGAGAACTTTTCAAATGGAGTTGATAGTCTTCCCTTCTTTGAACTTATAAAATCTCTATTTTGCTGGCTTGTAGGTGAGGTTAACACAAAGTAGCCTCCAGGCTTCAATATACGGTCAGCTTCAATAAGAAATAGTCCATCTGGAATGCAAAATCACTATTAGGTTTCATGGTAATAAAATTCACCATCTATAATTGGAATAGAAGAAATTTTATACACAAATTGTTCACAGGCATGCTTTACGTTACTAGTACAGCACTATGTAACAACTACTCCACTATCTCTGATTAGTAAGAATCTATTCTTTTAATTGAATTTTAGAGTACTACTATTGTTATTTTGCTTGTCCCCATTCCAAAATAAAATTACCCTTTCTTTTCTGGTAAGCCACATGGGGCATCCTAACTTCATAAAAGAAGCACTTAAAATAGATTAAGAGCATGATATACGAGAATATAATGTAATAATATAAGGTTTGTCACAGAGAAAACCTAATAGCTACAAAGACCTATAATATACAAGCAGCTAATGGTTAATCTCCTTTAATGAGATAGAGTAAAATGTAGAAATATCTCAATGTTATAATTGAGCCATTGATAACACTAACAGCTATGAAGAGAAAGTACAAAATATCTGACAAAATGGAAAGAACCTATAACCAACAAATATCATATGTTCTTTATTTTTTTAGATGGTGCCTTTAAATGGCTGGGGTAGGCTGTAGAGAATATAGGCAGTTCTCGAAAAGCAGCATATAATTGTGTTACATGAAGTAAATACATTATACATTTGCAGAAAAAGCACAGTTCAAGTTACAAAAGAAAAAAAAAAAAAAAGAATTTAAAAAAGCAAACAAATTTATTATGGTAATCAAACTCACTGAGGCATAGATCAACAAATAAGGATAACGACTAAGAAGTTTCATAAGAAATGTCATCTTCGATGCAATGAAGGCAATACCTTTCTTATCCCATATGATCCCACACTGTGCACAATGAACCATGTCATATGACAGTGATGGGAATGGAAGCTGATTAGCAATGAAGTTGCCAATCACTGCTGGAAGTCCTCTCTCAAGTGCTAACTGGACTTGGCTACTTGAAGATTCATATGATGCCACACAAAGAGGCATCAGCTTTAGAGAGAGTAAGTGAGCCCCAAAGCTACCAAATCCACAGCCAATATCTAGTACATTGTGCACCTGTTATTACCAGAAGATAAATTATCTTAGCCTCAGTAAAAACTGGTTTGAAATCATGGTTTCAGTATCAAAAGTGGAGCACAGTATAGCAACTAAACAAGAAATGCTGGTCCTCAAAACAGCAAGTGGGAGATAGAGTAAGTGTTAAATGAGTATAAAGTAACCAAGGCTTACACCAGCTTGAAGAAGTTCAGTGTCACTTCCTAACCCAATCAACTCTGCAATTAGGTGAGAGTAGTCTTTGACGTCATCAACACCTGCTCCATCATCTGAACGGAAAGCAATTTGATTCTCTTCTAGTAACATTAGCCTGGTACATTTGATCACTAATTAGAAGAAAACAGTTGTCACTCACAAAGAAACTTTACTATTCTGCAATCTGCATAATAATAAATCATAGATAGTAAAAAACTCAATCCACTGCTTTTATGATCTTTGCAGACTATATATTGAATTCAATATTTTTAGCATCTCTAATTTAATCATAGAAGGTGAATAATTGAATATAATTACCTTTTCGTCATGCTTCCAGATGAAAGGAAATGGCCTTTGGTTAACTTCACATTTCCGCTCCAGATGACATCCCTTCCTGCAGGCCAAGTCAAAGGAATCTTATAGTCCTTAGGTGGACGCACTAAACAATCCTGCAGATCTTGTGATACTTCACAATGCCGATCAAACTCCTCCCCATCCTTAAACCCAGAAAGCAAATTTGCAGACACATTGTAGCAAGGGACATAGTTCTCTCTACCCTTGCTACAAATACCAACATGCTTTATCCGGTTAGATCCATGGGAAATGCTCCTTAGTTCCAGGTAATCTCCTGCTGCTTGCTCCTTCAACCTTCTATAATTTGTATAAATGTTAGGTTTTGAAGAAGTAACAGAGTCAAAAGCACTCGAGGAAGATGATCCCAACAATGATATTAGCCCAAATATGCTGACAAGAAGCAAGAGCAGCCAATTGAGTGGTGGTCTAGGGCCGAATATTATGGATAGCTTGTTGAACAAAGGGCTTCTCATGACCAGATTTTGCAGACCCCTTTAATTTGAGCTGATGCACTCCACACGTACTAGCTATTGTTTTGACTTGAACCTCCAAAGTCCACATAAGCTACAACCTATTGTAAGGCACAATCCCTCGTAAATATCATTCAAGTCCCAAGCAACTTCAACTGGCATTGGTAGAATCTAATAGCCAAGCTTTCATCAATTGCAATAAATTCAGCAGCTACACCCTATGAATTAAATAGTTGAACTATAAACCAGCTTAATTGATCCTTTCAACCACCCATTCTAACCACAACAACAGAATTCAGAAAAGAAAATCACTCCTCAGAAAACTAACGCACCAACTACCACACCTTCCAATTCAAATACTTCAGGCCTTTTCAAAAACTCCGCGAGTACTGCCAAATTCACTCTTTTCCAAAATAAGTCTTACTCCTAAGAAATCCAACAAGTAATCTTGCATCAACCTGCAAAAACATCACCAATTTTTTCAAACAAATAACCAAGTGGATATAAACAAATCCTAACTAACTTTGAGACAAAGTTAGATAGCATTACACCGATGAAGATCTCAAACTCAGATCGGCTCCACACAATTCCCCAAGCGTAAAGTTAAAAATAGAAATGACACCAATAATCAATAATCATAACGATCATCATTACAAAGCAAACGACTATTAATTACAGGACATTAGGGTTTTTGAGCGTACCAGCTAGCTTCAGAACAATGCATCTGTATGTATAGCTTTTCCTGTGTATGCATACACTGAACCGACTATGCAGAGCACAGATTCACCATTAACGTCTGACGAAAGAGAAAGAAGCAAACAGCTTTTTGGTTGGATGCAGAATCCTACTCCGAGTTCTAGTTCTCTAAAATGGAGAAATTATATATTATTGAATCTTAATTTATACAGTAATATTTTATGATAGATCTGCCGTATATACACAACACTCACTGTTATAGTGGAATAATAATTGTGCTTGCATTATTCTCCCTTTTGCCGGTATTAATACGGAGTAACATCGAAACTTGAGATTTTTGGTCCTTAAATTATTTTACTTTTAAAATTTTAGTGCTTATAATGACATAATAACACATAACACTCATGTTATGTTATGTTATGTTATGAGTACTCAAAAAAAAAAAAAAATTAAATAAATTTAGTTCCTATCGACTTTGTGATCTAATGCCATATAGTGACTTTTTCAAATGAGAGGTCATGAGTTTAAGCTCCAGTAGTGGTGGTATTAACTCTTTGTGTTTAAGATAGAGTCAATACTACCCAATGACATTCACGGTTAAAAATTGTATTAAACAAAAATTGCTAATAAAGTTTGATAATCATAGATTAAAAGTTCAAAATAATGAAGAATTAAGGAACTAAATTTGTTTAAATTAATTAGCATGAATCAAAATTTTAAAAGTGAAACAATTTATGAATAAACGTGTTGAATTTCATAATAACATTAATAAGAAAAATTCCTTTAAAATTAAAAGGACTTTTTTTCCCAAAAGAAATGTGTCTCATATATTACTAGAAGGGTGTAGGGCCAATGCCCCTAGTATATGAATATTTTTATAAATGTAGAGTTAGAATTATTTATAAATATGATGTTTGTAGCATTAAATGTATTATCATTATAATTAATAAAATAACTCTTTCCTTCTCATGTAAGCAAACAGTCCAACCATGTAAGTATTGTTCTTCTTGACTTTTATGTCTTTGTTCTTAATCTCTCTCTCTCTTTTTTTTTTTTTTTTTGTAAGCATAAACTACAAAAGTCACTATAAAATTATATCAATAGTCATTCGAAATGGACACAAACACATGCAAGCCAATTGGAGGATCACCAATAATGTGTGTAGACGGTATAGTCAACTAATTTATACAATTATTAATTTTTTTATAATATGTTTTAACCTGCAATTTCAATCTCTAAATAAAGTTGAGTGTGCTTTTCTCTCTTTTTTAAAAAAATGAATATTCGTTAATATTATAATGTAAATATCAAAAATAAAAAATAAAAAATTGATTGTAAGGGCATCCTCAATAGTGGTAGAATTTTGAGGAGATTTTGCAAGTGTTAGGAAAGAGAAATGGGTAAAAAACGAAAAAATAAAAATAAAAATCAAAAATAAAATCAAAAACTGAAAAAAATTCTCAAAAACCCCCCAAAATCCCAAAAATCTCCAAAATTCCTTAAATAACTTAACAACCCCAACCATCTCTCTCCTCCAACACATCAATTTTTTCTTAAAATATGTGCAAACTCCTCCTAATAGGGATGTCCTAGTTTGGTTGGGAGGGAGGAATTAGGTAGGAAAAGAATTGCAATTCGGTGGGAAAAGAATAAGGTGAGAATAATGTAGGAATTCAAATTACATTGTTTAGTACGGAAGAATAGAATTACAGGGAATGATAATGCATAAAAGAAGTGGTAAAAAGACTAAAATGTCATTGTGTAATAATAAAAAATAATAATAATAACTAAGAGTAATATTGTCATTTGCTTACTTTTTTCCTTCCTTAAAAGCATTGAATTGCAATTCATGAGGTACCCCCATGAATTGCAATTCAACAAAAGGAGGGAATTACAATTGGCCAACCAAACATTTGTAATTTTCATTGCCATTGAATAAGGTAGGAAAGGAATTACAATTACATCCAACCAAACACCCCAAAGTGTTGTAAAAGTTTTATTTACTTGTGAATGTAATAGTATAACAAGTTAGAAAGTGAACAAACAGAAACAAACGTAAGGTAAGGTTAGTTGATGATTGTTGTGAGTAATGATAATTGTGGCTTATATGAAGAGCAATGTAGTTAAGACTTGGCCTAAACAAAATTAGAAAAGTGCAATGATGCCAAATGGAGCCGGGTAGGTAATTTCCTCCGTGCTTCCGGCAAGAATATATATACTCCGTATGTGTTTCTATCTGCAATAATTAAAAGATCATAAAATAAGATTTATAGATGTGACACATTATGCTTCTAGTTAACTAATGACTTAGCAATAATATAACCATTAAAAAAAGAAAAAGGAGAAGGTGATTGCATGTCCACATGGAATAGAATTGGGTTACTTGACTTGCTAAGCTAGACTTTATACTAACACGGTAACATGATAGAAGACTTCAGGTAGGTGTTTAGACATGACATTCCTCTCTTCCTTCCAAACATTTTTATACAAGATTATTTTGGCTTGCCTTGAATATTTTCTAAAAGCATTAGTGAAGTTTTTCTCTTCCTTCCAAACATTTTTATACGAGATTATTTTGGCTTGGCTTGAATATTTTCTAAAAGCATTAGTGAAGTTTCATCTCAAACGAAGTTTCTAGGAAGTTCTCCACCTCTTAGATTTGGGAGACGTGTACTTCGTTTCCGACCGTCATTTTTTTTTTTTTTTTAACATTATTTGGAGTCGAATGTTGCTTTCGTCACCCAACAATCTATAATTAAAGACGGGTGATCGATCTTTGAGTGAGACCATTGATCTTTGATGGGACCTTTGATTTTTTTAAAAAAATGATATCAATTTTTTGTCCATATAATATGTATGTAACATGCATGAAGCTAGAAACTTGTCATTTGGATATATTTGTACGATTTTAATTCGGATGCGTGACGATTTATCGACCTAAATATATATTATGTGTATAATTCAGTGATATATATATTTGGCCTTTATTCTATTTAATTTAAATGTGGTTTAAAATAATTAATTCCAACTAAATTGAGCTTTATTTTGTAAAAAGAAGTTTGTACTTTCATTTACTATTATTATTATTATTTTTTTTTTTTTTTTTTTTTTTTGAAGAGAGTACTTTTGTTTATTTAGAATTAACTTTTAATATTTGAGCCGAATTATTTGAATTTGCATGTTTAAAAGTTTAGTGAAGGAACTGAATTTGAGATGGATTGAAGTAATAAGCATTAGGAATAAGGTTCAAGTTGGCCACTGAACGTAACATGAAAATGCAATTAGGCCACTGAACGAAAAAAAAGTGCAATTAGGCCACCGGACACTTCAAATGTATGCAATTTCACCTGATAGCAGGTTACCATCAATTTTAGCAGGTTACCTACTTACGTGGCAGCTGAGTTAGGCATTTTAAATAATTTTTAATAAAGTTTAATAATAATATTTAAAAAAAAAACTTATTTAAAACAATTTTAATTTTTTTAAAATTTATTTATTTATTTTCAATTTTTTTTTTAAAAAAAAATTGTTATTAAAAATTATTTTAAATTATTAAAAAATGCCAACTCAACCGCCACGTAAGCAGGTAACCTGCTAAAATTGATGGTAATCTGCTATCCGGTGAAATTGCATACATTTGGAGTGTTCAGTGACCTAATTGCACATTTTTGGGTGTTCAGTGGTCTAATTGCATCTTTTTTTCGTTCAGTGGCCTAATTACATTTTCAGGTTACGTTCAGTGGCCAATTTGAACCTTATTCCTAAGCATTATAAATGACCTTGCACTCAAAACCATTACATTTGCATAGTGTTGAAACTCGCAAAAAACTTGACGCTGTAGACACCAATACCACAAAATGATTAACCTAGCTTTCTGAAAAACGAATTTCCGTTAGCATCCTAAATAGAAATAAGTGTTTTTTTTTTATGTGTCAATTATGAAAGAGAGGAGGAAAAGATAAGAAGGAAATCGAGAAAAAAAAAATTAAAAAGTTTGATGCGAAAAAAAAAAAAAAAAGCGGGCGCGTGCAGCGCTAGGCATTCAAAAAGTGTGAAAAACCACATATGGAAATGCTCTTACTCCTAGAACTCCCACATTCCAAAGTAAATCACATAATTTAGTAGTCTATTAGAGCGTCCCAAGTATAACTAGTTTTTTTTATGGTTTTTATCCGTCCATGTAAGGAGAGTGAGGAGAAGAGAGGAAGCAAAGAAAAAAAATTCACAAAAAAAAAAAAAAAAAAAAACGCTGACAAGTGCTCAGAATTTTTTTTTTTTTTTAAACATATGTACGCAATACACGCGCGCAGCATGCAGCAGGTGCACGAAACCTACAATGTTGTAAAAACCTACAATGTTGTACGTAATCTCCTCATTTCTCTGTCTTTTAGCATCAACAAGAAGGCCACAAAAATGCATTATATTGTAAAAGTGAAAAATCAAAAAAAAAAAAAAAAAAATCCCTTCCCAGGCTAGTTAAAACCCCAGCCTTGATTTTTTGGTCGGCAAAAACCAAATAAAATCCACAAATGTGAATACTCTTACAGGGCGTTTGGTTGAAGGGAATTTAAATTCCCTTCCCACTTAATTCTCACATAATTTCACAGACCACAAAATTCCCTTATTTGGTTGAAAGGAGTTGTAATTCCATTGAATTACAATTTCCCCATTTTCATGGAATTAAAATTCAAGGTCCCCCCTGCGATTTTAATTCCTGAGATATTAGGAAGAAAAAAAGATAGTGATGAGTCAAAATTATCCATTCTTTTTTTAACCTAAAATTAATCTCTAACAACAACAATGGATATTTTTGACTTTATACTACTTATTCCCTTTCAATTTCTATGTATACCAAACATTGGAATTGAAATTCTCAGTAATTCTATTCCTGTAAACCAAACACTAGATTTAAATTCCCACTTTATTTCAGTAATTCATCTCCCATGAAATTGCAATTCTTTTCCTATATAATTCCCCCTCTCCAACCAAACGCCCTGTTAGATGAGAAGATCAGTGCCTAACATTAACGAGTAGCCCACAAAATGATTAACCTCTTTATTACTTAATTATGGTATCTCTAAAGTTAACATTATTTATTATTTTTTTTTTCAGTTTTTCATCTTTCCAATTTTTCATTTCTCTTTAAAAAAAAAAAAAAAAGAAAAAAGAAAAAAAAAAAGAAAAAAGAAAAAAAAAAACTAGAAATGTTGTTGCAAGGAACCAAAGGGTGGAT